CAAGGAAGCCCAAATCTTAGCCACCACAAAAATCAATAGGATAGTATGTCCCCATAGTACATATATTCAGTACACTCGTAAAGATATAAATCTCAATATGAACTTGTAAAAAACTTTTTAAAAAGACAGAAAAAAACTTGTTATTCTGAAGCTTGAGAAGTTTGTGGGGCTGAAGAGATGACTCAGCAGTTAAGAGAACTAGAGGCTCTTGCAGAGGACCTAGGCTTAAGTTCTAGCACCTATATGGTAGCTCCAAGCCGTTAACTGCAGTCCAAAGATATCCAATGCCTTCCTTCTGGCCTGTGAGGGTACTGCATGAACATGCTACATATATATGAAGGCAAAACAAAACAAAACAAAACAAAACTCATACACTAAAAATAAAATAAATGAAAAAATTTAAAAAGCCAGAAGTGACACAACTTTAACCCCAGCACTCTGGAGGCAGAAATAGGCAGATCTCTAAGTTCAAGGCCAGTCTGGTCTATAGATCTAGGACAGCCAGGGCTACACAACAAACCCTGTCTCAAAAAACTAAAGAGAGGGAGAGGAGAAAAGAGAGGGAGAGAGAAAGAGAAAGAGAGAGATAGAGAATCAGTCACTACTAATTTATAATTTAGTATTCATAAATTCAATTATTAGGTAGATTATTAAAGCCCAATTTCCTACTCTCTTCCTCATTCTATTCTGTATGATCTATTCTTGGAGGTTAGTACTAGAGAGAATGGTAACATAAAACTGCAAGAGCAATTTGAATGTTTGAAATATTTCCATTCAGTAACAAAGCTTTTAAAACTAAAAGACTGGGCTGGGAGCTGAGATGGGTGTGTAAGTGCGCTTTCGCTGTGAGCTAAATTGGAACACCCAGCCCCTGCACAGAAAGCTGCACATGGTTGTACTCGCCCGTGACCATAGCATTAGGAACATATGGGGAGGAGGGCAGAAGAGTCCCAAGAGCATGCAGCCTGCTGCAAGCTGAGACTGCAGTTCAGGCCCTGATGGAGTGGAGCGCTGATGCTGGGCACACATTCTGCTCTGGATTCCAAATCTGTGTGCACAGGCACATGTTCCCACAATCTTAGGAACATAAACCAGGCACACATACTATACACAAACCCCACCAGCAAAAAAAAAACACCACCACCAAAAATAACTCCTCAAAAGTCCACCCAAAAGAGGAGAGCATCCCAAACCTCCAGAAAACAGGTGGTTTAATTCGGTATGTGTACGGTAAGTTAAACCACATACAAAACATGACACTTACATAGGATTTTGGTTAGTATCTTTCAAGTTTCTCTTCAACAATGTCTATCTTACTTTTAATAATGAAGAATCCAGAGGACATGATTCAGTACCTTCTAAAAAGAACTTGTGCTTGATAGGGGCCAGGTGTGAGGAAACTGGGGGTGAGGGTCAAAGGAAATGTTATAAAACTGGATGGTGGTCACAGATGTCACCACTATACATCTCAAAATTATTAATTCTAGATAGTTAGATAAGTTCTTTATAAATCAAAAATGCCAAATTGCATACTTATAATAGATAAATTTTATAATATGAATACTATAATAATGCTATTAAAAATAAGTATTTAAATGTTATTAAAATAATGCTATTAAAAACATGGGGTTTTTTTTGTAGGTTTGGTGTTTATTTTTTGTGACAGTGTCTCATTTTATAGCCCAGCTGGCCTCAATCTCAAGGTAACCACCCAAGCTCAGTCCCATGTGTTACTTTACAAGAACAAATACCATATCCGGTTCCTATTCTTATTTCCTAGTTTACACACAAAGACAACACAGAAAGTTAACAGTGGGAAAAATGGCCTTCCTTGCAATTTCATTAATAAAACTTAATGAGATAGGAATAATTCTGAACATACACACAGCATAGCGCCATCTTCAGAAGCAAAAGACTAGAAACAGTATCCTGTACCTGGGAAGGCCTGACAGTTACTACAGCGACTGTGTAATTTCCCTGAAGTTATTTATATTCACAAAGAAAGAAGATCCTCATCCAAGCTTGCCCACAGTAAAAAGGCTCACTGAATATGCTTTATTCCTTAGGTAAAGCTAATGTTCCAGAGATGTGGGGAGCCCACCTGGGCCCAGTTACATCAACCACAATTTGGTTGAAGACTGTGTACCAGACACAGGCTGACACTGCAGGCCTAATGAAAAGGCTCCTTGCAAGGCTGGCCTGTGGCTGGCCTGTGGGGTCTTGGATCTGACGAGGACTTCCTTCAACATCTCAACTGTGTAAGTGAGCAGCATGGCTTGTGCTGAACACTCTTTCCTCCTGAAACTGCAGCTTTGGTCTATGGTAGGTAGAAAGTGACCCTGTGATCAATTCCCAGAAGCAGCAATGTGTGCTGACTCTCTATGTGGACATTTCACCTTTCATAATGTTGCCACAACTTGTCACAGTGGGAATTAAATACTGCCTACACGGCTGGCTGCACAGGGAAAGAGGCTTTCGAATGTGCACCTGTTTTCCTTGGATTTGGTCCATATGCCTTTTTCTTTGGCTAATTTTGTTTCTATGTTCTCTTGTAGTACCTTTTAGCTGTGAATATTGGTGACTCTCTGAACATGTGTTCTGAGAACCACTAATGCAGATGATTCTTTCACACTGTGTGCCTAAATAAGCACTAACAGCGGCCTAGCCATGAAACTTCGCTTATAGTTGGCGAGGGCTCTGGAGAGGTCTTACTTTCCACTAGCAAATACCAACACAGGTTCCAAACATCCTGCTGGATAAAGCAGTGCATATGCCATATAAGGATGCCCACCAGGAACTCGAGCAGAGAAAGAATCAGGAGGTCCTGCCCTGCACCACCTTCTTCATCTTCTTCAAACTCCAAATTCTCTTCTTCACCAGGTGCTAAAATTCGTCTACATGGAAAAGAGAGAAAAAAAAAAAAAAACAAAAAACCCTAAACAATGAGCTCTAACACTCATTACACCAACCAAGCCTCACAGCAGTCCCACAGGCAGCTGAGTACTGTAAGAGACTGACATATTGTTACCAATGTTGTAGCAATCGTATCAATGTATATAAGTATATACATTGTGTCAAAGTATACAAGTATATCAAATCATATAAAATCATATAAGGCAACAACAGAGTAAAAGCAGGTATAAAGCAGGTACAGGGAAAATAGTATGGGAAGAAGATAAATATGAATACCTTAATGGGATAGGCTGAACATCAAATGGGAATTCTTTATTATATGTAAGAATATTCTTCAGGACTACAATAAAAAGACAAAGAAACATGAATTCTTCTATAAAAATCAAACGCTATAGCTCAAAGAGCTAGTATTTAGTCAGTTTTGCCATGTACATTTAAATATATTTTTAAACTTGCAGACTATCATTCCAGAACTACCGTATACTTCTTTAGAGAAGGTCTGAGGAAATTAGGACTCTTCCCTCAAACTCTGTACAAGCTCCTGAGTAAAAAATGGGTACCTCCTCCCTGTACTGCTGTAATTAAAGGACTGACATTAAGGATGACAATTAGAGAGACACACACATATCCTATTATGTCTTGAGTTTTCTCCTTAGTATCACCAAACTAAGTGTTTGGTGGTTTGTGCTAGCATGGTTATACTTCTCGTATTTGTTTTATGATAAAATTTACTGTATATGTCTATATATTACAGATATAAATAAGTAGAGTTTATCTTCAAGAGAAGTCTCCAGACAACATGGTACTGTGTCCTGGCTGTGGCCGCTCTCTGCCCACAGCTCCCTTTGGGCATGTACGATAGTGCTCTAAGTATATAATTCAGTGTTTTACTTCCAGCCTTGCAAGTCCCTGTTAACTAGCTGCAAATTACATGAAGGTAAATCCATAGCATGAAATGGGCAACACAAAAGGCTCTTGTGTCTTAGTGCTCAACACACTCAGCCTTTAACTTGGAAGCCCTGTGGTTCAGAGCCAAAAGAGGCAGCGCATATTGGCACATAGCCTCTACAGGGGGCTACCCAAAGGGCAACAGCTGCAATGGCGTGGTGTATTCCAGTGACTGTCAGTTGTTATCCAACTTCTTACATGTGTGCTTACAGAATATAGAGTGAAAAGTCAGAAACTACCCCCTCTCTGGCTCCTACCCTTCCACCATCTTTCTTTTCTCAATAACTCTGTATTTACTGCCCACAATGTTTTAGACTACCCTAAGGTACATGGTGATCAAGAAGTCTTAAATGGATCTTAAACCAAACTCAAGAAAAACAGACAACAAACATGATACTAGACCAGATATCATTCAAATGTGAGACGCTGAAAGACTGGCCTCCCAGAGAATAGCAGAGGAGCAACACACCGTGTTTTGTTCTGTCTTGAGTAGAAATCCCCTCAACAGCGTAAAACGAGAAAGGTTTATAGCAGAAAAATTATTCTTCTGACATCCCTCTTATGAAAACATTTCATTATATACATACTAACATATTATAGATCTAGACATGGTAGAGCTTATCCTCAAGGGAGGTCTTCAAACATGAATACAGGCTGCGGGAAGGTTTCAGATTGAGATATACACTCATCAAAACTACCATTTGGACCTTAGAGCAAACTCAAGAAAAGCAGACAATGGATGCCAACAAGTAGACAGGCTAATATACAAATGTGGTTCCTGTTAGGATGGACATACGGGAAGCTGTGTAAATGGACAGTGAAGCAGCCAAAGTCCACAGGGTCCAGTGTTTCAAAACTAAGCTGTGAGGAGACACTAACGCTGTGGCCCAAGGTAGAGGCAGTCGTAGCCACTCTGGGGTCGAAGCTGCCCAGTATTTCAGAAGAAGAAGGGCGACAGAGGCCAAAGAAGGAAGCAGAGCTTTGGGGGGGGGGGGGGGGGGGAAAGGCACTGAGGAGACAGTTTTGCAGTTTTGCTCTGGATTCCAACCTGGCTGAGAATTGACTATGTAACGCAGGCTGGCCCTGAACTCATGACAACTGACCATCTTCCCACATCAGCCCCTTGAACAGCCATATCCCACCATATCCAGCTTGAAACTGGCTTCTTCAAATAATAAAAAGTTTACAGGCAAGAAGAAAGTATCAGATGATCAAAGTCGGTTTAAATAGAATCCTAGCCCTAAAGTCTCAGTGTAACTATGCAGAAGCAGAGTACATTACTCAGCTCTCCCAACCCTAAAATGGGAACTAGAATTAAAGAACGTGCAGGAGAATGCAGGAGAATTTTTAAAGTGTTGAACACAACCACACTCAGCTTCAAGTATCTGCACTTTGTAAGTGTCTTTTTCTTTTTTGTTTTCTTTTTCTTTTCTTTTCTTTTTTTAGGTATCGGTGCTTAAAAAGAGAGTAAGTAGAAACCTGCGCTGTTATGCGGGATTAATACCACAGTTTTCCATTGTGACTGACCAGAATTCTAGTGTTTCCTGCCTCGCAGAAAAGTTCTGCCTTTTCCAAACATAACAACATCCCTTCTGAACGTTATGGGACAATGAATGTTAACTTAGTACACAGCAACTAATCATTCACACAGTACTGTGGTAAACACTAAAAATGGGAGAAAAGATGACAACATTTGTCATTCATATGAGATATGACACAGAAATCATATTTTATAATAATGAGAAAAAGCCAACCCTTAAAATATGTAAAAGAGGTTGAAATCTACATTAGTTATAAAGAATATTTTCCTTTAGGTGGAAGAGAGGCAACGGGTCTCATGTAGGCCAAGCTGGCCTCAAACTCACTACATAGTTGAGGCTAGACTTGAATTCCTAATCCTCCTGCCTCCACCTTCGTAGTGGAGTGATTACAGGCATGTGTTATCACAGCCGCAAGTATGTTGCATTTTGTAAACTTGTTTCAGATATCAGTGCTTTGCAAAGAAAATATTTGGGGCTAGAGAGGATGCTCAGTGTTAAGAGCAGGTGCTATCCTTTGAGAGAACCACAGTTCGGTTCCAGGCACCCACTCAGGGTAGCTCACAACCACCTTTAACTTGACCGCCAGGGGATCTGAGGTGCTGCTGTGGCCTTTGAAGGCACATGCACTCCTGTGTACAACCAACCCAGGAATCTCCCCAATGGCCTGCTTCCATCAGCCAGGCTTCACTGATTTTTTTTTTTCTTATTACATTTTATGTACTTTGTGTGCATGCACTTTGGAAGTCAGAGGAAAACTTTTGGGAATAGGTTCTTTCCTTCAACTACGTGGGTTCTGGGGATTGAACTCAGGTAGTCAGGCTTGCTGGCACGCGGATCCACCTTGCTAGCCCCAGGCCTCACTTTTTAAAAGTGTTCTACAATTTCCCAACAAAACACCACTCCCTGAGGACCATTCATATAGGGCCTTCAGTTTCATGTCCATACACACCACTCTGACACTTGTGGTGTCCTCTCCAAATGAGAACTCAGTGCTCCCAGCCTTTCTTAATTATGAGGAATGGACCTGCCATCACCTTGCAGTTCATGCTCTAAGAAATGACGCACGTGGAACATCAACATGTGTTCTTGTAGCAACCTATCACTTTATGGTAGGCAAAAGTGGAAAACCACTTTCATCCTCAAGTTCTTCCTTCCTTCCTTCCCTCCCTCCCTCCTTCCTTCCTTCCCTCCTTCCTTCCTTCCTTGAGACACAGTTTCTCTGTGAATCCTCGGCTGTCCTAGACTCGCTTTGTAGACCAGGCTGGCCTCAAACTCACATCAATCCACCTGCCTCTACCTCTCCAAGTGCTGAGATTACAGGCATGCATCACCACAATCGTTTTTTTTTTTTTAACTACTTAAGAAGACTCCCTCTCAAGACATTCATATCTATTGAATACAGCACAAATTTGCAAAGTTTAAACTATAAACAAAGCACTTCATAATTATGCATTTTAGCCAGATAGTACAGGACAGACATACAATTCATAGACCCAAAGAAGTGACAAGGAGGATCCAAAGGAGGATGCTTAAATCTCACTCAGAAGGAGAAAAAGAATAAATAGCAGAAGTGGCTGAAGAGAGGGAACAAGACAGGCGTGTCCTCTGAGAGGCTCTACTCAGCAGCATATCAAAACATGCTGAGACTCACAGCCAAACATTGGGTGATGTATAGGGAGTCTTACAGAAAAATGGGAGGAAGTATAGAAGGACCTGGAGGTGACAGGAGCTCCACAAGAAAACCAACAGAGCCAACTAACCAGGGCCCAGAGGGGCTTTTGGAGACTGAAGCACCAACCAAGGACCATACATAGACTGGGCCTAAGCCCCCTACAAAGATGTAGCAGATGGACAGCTCAGGCTTCATGTGGATTCCCTAGAAAGGGGAGCAGCGGCTGTCTATGACATAGGCTCTGTTGCTTGCTTTCTGATCACTCCCCACTCATCAGGCCACGGAGGAAGAGGACTTGCTAAGTCCTGATTCAACTTAATGAGCTGGGTGTTGTGGGGGGAGGCTCCCCTTATCTGAGGAATAGGAGAGAGGAGATGGGGGAAGAGGGAGGGGCTGGAAGAAGAGGAGGGAGGGGGCTATGATCTGGATGTAAAGTGGATAAATAAACTGATTAAAAAAATTTTAATGTAGTTAAACACTAAATTGCAGGAAGTGTTTTGAATAGGAATAACACATAACTGTCCAATTTTGATAAACTAAAAAATTACTGCCCTACTGAGATACAGTATATACTGCTATGCTCCTTCCAGAATCAACAGGTTAAAATCACCTAAAAGTATTAAGAAGGGGCCAGCAGACAGCTCAGCAGGTAAAGGTGCTTGCTGCCAGGCCCCTGAAACCCATAGGGTAGAAGGACAGAACCAATTCCTACAAGCTGTCCTACAGGCTATCCTCTGATGTCTACCCAGGCGCTAAGCATTCTACTCCCAGATAGACAGACAGACAGACAGATAGACAGATAGATATTAGATAAACAGACAGATAAAAAACAACTTTTTAAAACATCAAGAAGAAGTTCAAAAAGACATTATATAAATTCAAAAAAACTATAAAATGAAGGTGAAGCCAGTGGTAAATTATTGTAATTCCTGTACTTGGGAAGGTAAGGCAGGAGAATTGAGCTTCAGACAAGACTGGGCTATATAACAAGGTCTTGTCATCTTACCAAAATGAAGCAAATAATATAAATCTAATATAAATCTTTAAAATACAAACAAAACTTAAAAAAAAAAAAAGACAAGCAAGAGAAACAGCAAACGGCTTTTAGTCTAATATTCCACTAAGGTAAGAACCAATAGTATCTCAGGAATTTGAACTAGAAAACTGTGCCATTTAGGATTAACATATCCCAAACTCATTCCTGGTATTTGCAAGCATAAGATCACAGACAAGTACCAGAGCTGTCATTATCAAAAGGTGTAAGACCTGGGGTCTCACAGCTCAGGAGTTCAAGATCGCGCCCTTCCCAGAAACTCCCCCAGACCAAGACTCGTTGCAAAAGCAAGAGGTTTATTAACCATTGCGCAATGGGGTCACCCCTGCCGGTCAGCAAAGAGTGGCACCGGGAGACAAAGGCTTTAGGTTTTTAAAAGAAAAATTGCGGGAGATTTGAAGTTGCAGTCTTGGCAATTTAGGATTGGATGAGGAAGCTATAAAGTAAGATAATTGGTTAGTCTTAGGTGCTCAACCTTGGCCAGTCCTGCCAAGTGTGGATGCAGCTGCAATTGAAGGTGGGGGTGGTTAGCTCATCCTTGAAGATTAGGGGCTACAGACTTTTGGCTGGAGGTCAAAAGCTACTCAGAAGAAGTCTAGGTTTGTTGCTAAGAATTGCTATCTCAAAGACAGGAGTTTTTCTTTTTGCTGAGTGAAGGTCTCATTGCTTGCTTGCCTTTTTTTTCTATCTGTCCTCATAGATAGGGTCACATTTTTCCATTCTCTGGAAAGGTACTAAGAGGCTTTAGCTTAAGCTGAACCTAAAACTCAAAACTATAGGCTTTAGAAGACATACAGGTTACAAAGTTAGTCTAACCCTTTCAAAGGCAGCTGGGGGAATTTCTCTGAATGCCAAGTCATACACTTGATAACTCTTAAAAACAAACAAACAAACAAACAAACAAAAGCAACCAATGAAATCTTTGAGGTACAAAGAGAAGTTACAGAGGATGGTTACAGAGAGATAAGTACCTCCTGTGAAAAAGCTTAGTCTCTATAGTAATCCCATCTAGAATAAAGTTCCCCCTTCCCTTTGCCTGCTCCACAATGCTGGAGAACTGAATCAGGGCCTTGTTCCTGCAGGCCACATCTCCAGGCCTCTGAAAGATTCTTAAACTGTGTTTGAAGCAAACAAACAAAAAATCCTAACTGAAAATTTTTAGAAGCCAGAATCCTACTTTTTTTATGAAAAAGAAAGAGACAGAGAGAGAGAGAGAGAGAGGAAGGAAGGAAGGAAGGAAGGAAGGAAGGAAGGAAGGAAGGAAGGAAGGAAGGAAAAAAGGAAGAAAGGAAGAAATAAAAGAGAAGAAACAAAGGAGTTTCTTTAGACCCAGACACCCCCATCCCGACTTCAGCTGTGACCTTGCTACATTTGTTTGCTTCTTTGTAGTTCTGAGGATGCCTCCCACATCCTGGGTATGTGCTCTGCCACAGGGAGCACCAGCCTCAGAGTTACGATGTTTTAATTAAAGATATCAACGTGCTTTTCTCCAAAATATCTTATCTATAGCCAATCACGGAAGACCATTTATGATTCCATTTGTATAAAATGTTCAGAATAGGCAAATGTATAGACAAATTAAATTTGTGGTTGCCTAGACTAGTAATTGGAGAGGGTCAGGGTTGGACAGGGAAAAATGAGTGATGCTAGTGGATACGGAATTTCTTTTTGGGGCGATGAAAATACCCTAAAATTGACTGTGGTGATGGTTGTAATGTCACGACAATAAAACGCAGGAATTATATGTTTTAAATTAGTGAATTTATGGTATCTAAATAAGATCCCAATAAAGCTACTAATAAGAAAAACTTATATAAAGCATTTGTGTTAATGCCTTTTAAAGAAATCATAAAAGCTCTACACATGAGAAAATGTGCTCAGAAAAAGTTTAAATTTTATATTATTTGATTGGCATTCCTGTAAACACTGAGTACAGGTAAACACTATTTAGGAATATAAAATTATAGTTCTTATAACAAAAAGGTTATGGTCTGCATTACATAAAGTAACCAAAACTATTAAAATGACACAGTTCATCATAATTTTTGTCATATGTAGAAGGACCTTGCTCTAGAGATGAAATACGATCATCTAACAACTGTGGAAAAGCCACCAGTGTCACAGCAGATCTTTGTTCCTGTGGTTTTGTTGCTTTTCTGTAACAACCCAAACAAAACAACAGAAACCTGATCCCTTTTAGTATAGACCTTGCAACCCTGGTCCTTCCTTTACAAGCCCATTTTAACTTCTTCAGTAACTTATGCCTGCCTTCAGCCTTGCTGTGAGTTGGGAACTGGCAGCTTGGGAAGATGATATGAACAATCTCTTCGCTTCTTTTACCTTTCACCCAAGGTGTGGCAACACCAAAAGGATTGCACAAATATCCACTCTGCTCACCTGATTCAGGCCCTGTCCAGCTACTAAGGGCTGCAGAAAGAATGTGACCACACAGCCGAGATTCCCTTCTGTTCTAAAATGCTTTGATTTTATGATTCCCTACTTAAGAAATCTGCCCTTTTTTCTAGATCCCACCATTTGCCTGCAAAATTCATGATTTCCTTGTTTTTAATTGCTGAGTAGGATTCCATTGTGTAAAAGTACCACAATTTCTGTATCCATTCCTCTGTTGATGGACATCTGGGTTGTTTCCAGGTTCCGGCTATTACGAATAAGGCTGCTACAAACATGGCTGAGCAAATGTCCTTGTTGTGCAGGCAAACGGTGGGATCTAGAAAAAATCATCCTGAGTGAGGTATCCCAAAAGCAGAAAGACACACATGGTATATACTCACTTATATAGACCTACAAGATAGGATAAACATATTAAAATATGTACACCTAAAGAAGATAAACAAGAAAGAGGTTCAGGGTTAAGATGATCAATCCCCATCTAGAAGGACAAAGGGGATGGACATTGGAAATAGGAGAAAACAAGTAACAAGACAGTAGCCTACCACAGAAGGCACCTGAAAGACTCTACCTAGCAGTGTATCAAAGCAGATGCTGAGACCCATAACCGAACCTTCAGCAGAGTGTAGGGAATCTTATGAAGGAAGGAGGCATTAGTATATCCTAGAGGGGACAGGGAGCCCCACAAGGTCCAAATATATCTGTGCACAGGGGTCTTCTATGAGACTGTCTATCCAACCGAGGACTATGCATGGATATAACCTACAACCCCTGCTCAGACATAGCCCATGGTAGCTCAGTATCCAAGTGGGTTCCCTAGTAAGGGGAACAGGAATTGTTTCTGACATGAACTCATGAGCTTCCCCTCCCCCCTGAGGGAGGAGCAGCCGTGCTAGGCCACAGATAAGGACATTGCAACCATCCTGAAGATACCTGATAAGCTAGGGCCAGACAGAAGGAGAGGAGGACACCCCTCTCAGTGGACTCGGAAGGGGGCAGGGAAGAGATGAGGGAGGGGAGGATTGGGAGGGAAAGAGGGAGTGGGCTACAGCTGGGATACAAGTCAATGTATAAAATTATTTAAAACTAAAAATATTAATATAAAAAAAGAAATCTGCCTTAACAAATGGATCTGAAAGCCGTTCTTCTAGGTTTACAAAAACATTATTAAGCCATGCAATCCTGTCTCACTGGTATTAGCAAAAGTTTACTCATATTCACCTCTGCCCATACTGCAGATATTTCAAGAAAGAAAACATTCATCTGAACCAGCAAAAAAGAAAAAGGAAAAAAAAAAAGTGTCAGCAGCCTTTTGGACAGCATTGTAACCACAGGAATATCTGAAAAAAAATCATTTACTTTAGAAAGTTTTAGAGGAAGAGGAAAAAGTAAATAGATTCAACAAGGAAGTATTTTATAACATCACTCAGAGTAGGCTGCAGCTTTCATGCCATGTAAGTTGAATGGCATCACTGACCATTGCTTTTATTCTTCCTTAGACTCTGCTGTGAATGTTTTTCAAGGAATGTAGTCTTATGAAAGCCACCAAAACAAAATAAAGGCTAATATACATTTACATCAAATTATAACCATTACAAATATTGCAGGAATTTAGAAAGGACTAAAAAGATGCTACATAAGTAGCTATTAAGAGAAAACGAACTATTTCCCTAAAAGAGATCACAAAAGTACCAGAAGATAAAACTTACCTGGTTCTAGCCTCTTCAGATCCTCCAGTTTAAATTCTTCTTGGGACTGTGTGGACTAAATTTAAAATATGCACATTACATCTTTTTACTACAAATAGTTCCCTGTGCCCTATGTCTCTTAAGGGGTAGAAACCAAATATTCAAAATGATCCAAAACCGATTTCTTGCTTTCAAAGTAGAAAATAAAAGGTCCCAAATTGGGTTTTGTTTGTTTTGCAGTCTTAGAATAGTCAGGTTAAATGTAATAGAAAAAAAAAAATTAAAGTTCTATCTTTGATTTTTATAGTTTACAAAATATGAACTAACTCATGAAAGTACACATGCTACTGACAAACTCCCATATTTGTAAAACTCTTCTGCAATGAAATAGATTTTAGCATGAATGCCTAATAATTCAGCAAAAATATTAGTTAAAAAATATATTCTACTTACCTGTAGTGCTACCCTTCACAATTCTAAACAAGCTGCAATTTTGCCTATGGTTTTCTGTAGGAAGAAAAAAATACTATAATATAAAATGAAATCAAGTAAATTTTATTTCTCTGCAGCATCTGGCAGCCTGGTGCACGTAGCAAGTTCTAGCACAGCCAGGGCTCCATAGTGAAAACCTGTCTTAATAAATAAAGAAAGAAACACATAAATAAATGAATAAATAAATAGATAGATAAATAAATAAATAAATAAATCTGATTGCTCATTGATATGTATAATTTTAACATTTTTCTGTGTCCATTAAATTTAAATAGCTTGGCATGGTTGCACATGCCTTTAATCCTTTAATCCTGCACTCAAAGAATCAGAGGCAGGTGGATCTCTGTGAGCTCAAGGCCAGCCTGGTCTACATAGAGTTCCAGGACAACCAGGGCTACACAGAGAGACCTGTTACAAAATAAATAAATTAATTCATTAAGAATAAATACGAATGTTCCAAAAAAAAGGGATGCCAATGAAAAATGTTCCATGCCATGGTTTCTTCCAAGCTTTCTGATTTCTTTTCCATTAAGCCTAAAATTACCAAAATTTTAAAATTTCTGAAGTTATTAGTAGTACAGGAGCATAATGCAATTCTGACTGAAGCAAACCTAACTTACATACATACATAACACTGAGCAAAGTCAGGGTCTGTAATAAATAGTGGGGAATTTTAATGTGTTATAAAAGGATATAAAATGGACAGTAATGACCTAGGCATACTTTCAATAAGCTCACGTCCTATATGACGAAAGACACAGGATCACGTAGTACAAAGCGCAGCCATGAGAGTCTACAAACTCCAACAAAGGGAACTATCCAAACCTTACCAAAATACAGTGAGACCTGCTGAGGAATCAATCCCTAATGAGTACTTCTAAGACTAAAGAGTTTAGGAAGGTGGCAAAGTTTACCTGCCTTGAGTCCTGAGAGCAAAAGGAAAGTTATGCATTTAGATTAGGCTTCTTACATATTAAGAAAAAAAATCCAAGGGATGGCAGTTAAAGAATACTGTTTGCTCTTGCAGAGGACCTGGGTTCAACTCATAACCATCTGTAACTTCAGATGCAGAGATTCAACAGCCTCTTCTGACGTCTGTGGGCACCACGCATGCAAGTAGTAGACAGACAGACATACAGGCAAAACACCCAAACACACAAAACTACTTTTAAAGATTTTTAAAGGAATTCTCTTTGCACAGAGACATACCAATGCATCTATATTTTAAACCTCTTGGCTTCTGCACGCAGCAGGCATGCAAGTGGTACATAGACACACACAGGTAAAATACACACAAAGGGCTGGGGAAATGGCTCAGTGGTTAAGAGCACTGTCTGCTCTTCCAGAGGTCCTGAGTTCAATTCCCAGCAACCACATGGGGGCTGGGCTCACAACTATCTGCACCCTCTACTGCCCTCTTAGAGCACTAATATGCATAAAATAAATAAATAAAATCTTAAAAAAACACACACACAAAATTAAATCTTTTAAATTTTTAAAAAACAATTCTATTTGTATAAAGATATATCAAAATGCTAAGTATTTAAAAATGATAGCATCCACTTCTTTTTACCCCCCCTCCCTGCCCACTGCCTTGCAGACCCAGGCCTACTGTTTGATTAGTTACACAAACTACTGGGATTTTTTTTGTTTGTTTGTTTGTTTACAAATAGATTACAAAATCTATTTAATTTCATATACTTACCACGTTAGATAAAAATATAGTTTAAAAACTGTAGTTCACAAATAAACTCCTAAATGTAAATTTTTCTCCTTGTAGAACTGCCAAGAGCTTTTATACAGAAAGGCACTGCACTATAGCAAAACACCAATAGGCATTATTTACAATTATTTTAAGGAATGACACCCAACCTCAATATTAAAAAAGAAGTAGGATGCTATCACTTCAGCTGTGGCAATAATCTAAAAACACTGCATGTGCTCTTGATGTCAAAATGATGTATTGCTACTGAAAGATTGCACAAAAAAAATTTAAGAAACTCAAGTCTAGACATATCAAAGTCCAAGGACTGTAACGTAAGACTAAGCTCTGAGGAGCCAGGTGGCTAGGGAACAAGCCTGCCAACCTGAGAGGTGAGGGCAGAAACCCTGTCTTAAAATCTCCCACCCCTTCAAAAAAGACTACGCAATAATTATTAATAAATTATTAGCACTCACTCAAACTAATTGCTCATACTTAATGCAGGATAGAAAATCTAAGTAAATGCTATTTTACTTTGTCATTGCCTAGGAAAATTGATAGCTCAGAAGAACAATTAGGGAAAAATATAAAAACAGTCAATTAAAGAAATAAAGTAATTGTGCTATAATGTATTCAATTTCTATAAGGGAAAATCAGTTAAATATATATAAAGAATATAGTCTCACCTGATCCAGGCTTAATTTTTCAATATTTAAATAACTACTCATCTTCTGTCTAGCTAGTGTGTGTGTGTGTGAGAGAGAGAGAGAGTGAGAAAGAGAGAGAGAGAGAGAGAGAGAAAAGAGATGGGGGTAGAGATGAAGACAGATAAAAAGGAAGACCCTAAAAATATACAACAAGCATATAGTACGGAATTCTCATTACCACAAAATTTGACTCAAAACAGGAAAAAGCTTTCTAAGCAGCATGAGACAGCATGTTTTATTCTACATAGACACTAAATGATTAAACCTACTATACCCAGTAGGGAATTCAATGGAATAAAGCTTTTGGCAGCTTTGGCTATTACACTTAAGCTGTCATAACAACAAAGCTACTGAGAACTGAAATGAAAGCTAAGTAAACTAACCATGAAAAGGCTCAAATAAGAATCATAAGCTTTCCAGATACAGTGGTGCAAGCCATTAATCCCAGCACTCAGGAGGCAGAGGTAGGCAGCTCTCTGAGAGTTCAAGACCATTGTGGTCAAGGATTGTGAGTTCATGGGAAAGCCCATGAGGTCCCAACCCTACACAAAGAGCTAAGGCAACTAAGCAATGCTGAGAACATGGCAGTCCTCCCCAGGGAGGAGCACACCAATTGGTTATCCAATACCAAATGGTCAGCCCTGAAAACATACATCTAAGTAACATGAGAGAGTGAGCATATTATATTTAGAAACATATATGTATACAAATATACACATATGTATGCAATAAGAATGAAGAAAGGAGGTCATGAATTTGAAAGGGAGAAAGAAGTATATGGGTTGGTTTGGAGGGAGAGGGAAGAAGGAAATGTTATTGTATTATAATCTTCAAACTAAAAGAAATGTTTAAAAAACAAGCTTACTTTAAATCAGAAATCAATAAGAATGTCAAGAATAAGTACATATGGAATTTTCATACTATCTTTCACCATGTAGTTTTAGAGATTACCATTTCTGTTCTAGGATTTTTTTTTTTTTTTATGTGTGAAAAGGTCTCATTTTCACTGATCACTTTCCTATGGATTCCTACCAATTTTAAAGCTGTATGAGATTAATGTTTTCGTGATTACATTTCCATTAATGTTTTGTGTTTCTTAGATTTAAAGTTAATATTGTGAAAATGCAAGTTACTGTCTTGAAACATAGGGTCTATCTTAAAGTAGTAATCCTTTGAGTAAACACCAGCAATCTTAGAACCAACAAAGCTTCTACTCAAAAAGTACTTCCACAAGCGTGCTCTGAGCTAGAAAACACTGCTGTGAGGGGAGGCTCCCACTACACTCCCACCATTAGGGAGGCTGAGGCTTGAGGACTGTCAGGAATACTGATTTTTAAAATTTTCTTTCAATTGTCAGTGGTGGCACGTGCCTTTAATCCCAGGGAAACCCTACCCCAATTTAAAATAGAAACCACACATTAATTTTGCCAAGAATAAAGTAAGAAACATCAAACATTCTTCTTTTTCTTGAAAACAATACAGTTGGGTTTTCCCCCTCTGGCTTATGGGCCATATACACAGCATTTAGCTGATTCTATAGATCCAACAGTAACTCCTATCACTAGACCCCAACAGGGGGGGGGGAGCTTTCCAAACTCAAATAAAAATTTAAAAGACTAATGCACTTACACGCTTTAAAATATTCAACATCACGTTAGCATGCTGAAGCCCTGAGAAGTCACACTTTCTGTTCAAAATATGAATTTTTCAGAACAAATGTTCCCCCGACCACATCTGGAAGCTCAGTATTTCAAGCCATTCATTATTAATAACTCAAGGCCTCTGATAACTACTTCTCCACGTGACAATCAAATGAGGCCTACCATGGATGGCTGTATGTGTTTTACTTGAATTTTTAGGGAAATTAAACGTTTAGAAATGTGTAGCTTGACTTACATTCATGATGTAGCACATGCGGATAAGGGATGTTAAGGCCAGATACAGGCAGGCCCAAGCTCTGTGTGGTCACAGGTGCAGCCCCCATGCCTCACTGGCAAATACTCTAAGTAACAAATGTTTCAGAAATCCAGTGGCCAAGAAACAAAGTGACACCTCCTAGATAAAGTTATTAGACTGTAGAGAAAAAGGTATCTTTCATTGTCCTGCAGGGCTCTCTAGTCCCTCATCTCATAAGGACATTCGGGCCTAGAAAGAGAGCTCTGTACGCTACTCTCGGTCAGCCTGCCTTCAGGTCTTTCGGACCGCAAGATCTGGGAGTGTCTGTAAGCAGTAAGTAAGGGCAGCTAGATGCCTGACTGTGGGAAAAGCTGCGAATTAAAGGATGAACAGCATTACCAGAGACTCAAAGGCCTTAGTCTCAGGTTAAAGAAAATTGTGAAAAAGGTATAATCACTTCCCTTACCACAATCATGACTATACCCATCACTTATTATTTTCTTTTTTTATAATCTTAGCACACTTTTAGCAAATCAGACACTTTATATTTGAGGTCTATGGACATGTTCTTTACAAACAGATATTGGGAGACAAAACATAACTCAAAATGAAGACATCATTGAGGACAATATGAGGTCACTAAAATCTTTTAATGTCCTAGGTTTTTATTTTTCCTTTCATGTTTATAACTTTATTAACTATTAATTCATATACTTAGGTACTAAAATTCTGTTGATCAGAACTTAGACATCCTAAGTTTCAACTCTGTAATGCCAACTGGTTATTCAAGGCAGATTTCACAAACCCTAGAGAAAGGGGAGAATACAGCTCTTGTCCTCTTCCTCAAGCAAATCACTCATGTCTGCTCCGGTACTTTCCAGGCTAAAATCTAATCTCTGGTGGACATCAGCAATTATGAAGGAGGAAAAGAAAAACGTTCTTTAAAGTTGTAGCAACATGAAAATTTAAAATGCCAAAACCAAAACAAAATATTAGCTAAGCAATCTTACATATATTAAGATGTACATATACTATCTTGGGCAAGAATGTTGGTGGTCTGTTCTCTCACAAACACCTATAACTCCGAGTTAACAAATAGAAGTCCGTGAACTAAAGTAAATCTCCTTAGGCTTAACAAATTTTGCTCCTCCAAACTACTTACTACCCTTGTGAAAAAACAATGACTATGACTGAATGGAGTCACTAGAGTTTTCACACAATGCTGTCCTATGAGATCTGGGGTGGGTGGGGTGCTAACACTTTCCTTACTACTTACAGGGTTAAAAGTTAGCTTAGTACTAGCTACCCCGAGCCAGGAAAAGCAGAAGTTATTTCCTCTCTTTTCCCACCTTCAGGAATGAATGTCCCCATTTTTTGTTTTTATTATCTCTAATGGGGAATCAAATTGATAACACACACAAAATCTAACTCAAGGAGAAAGGACACTCCTAAAACTTTTTGCAACATTATCTGTTTATGGACAGATTTGCAGGCCAAATATTTTTCCCTCCCCAGAGACAGGGCTTCTCTGTGTAGCCCTTGTTGTACTAGAACTCGCTCTGTAGACCAAGCTGGCCTCAAACTCAGAGGCCCAGCTGCCTCTGCCTCCCGGGTGCTGGGATTAAGGTGTGCACCACCATTAACAGGCTAAATTCTTAACTTCCACTATTTTATGTTTAGTCTTACACTTTGGGCTGTTCTTTTGGTTTGGTTTGGGGGTTTCAGGCGCTCACTGGCTTATTTTGAAAGAAAGAATAGTGTGAGGCGGGTGTACACACTGTGTCCCCAGGTGACGGTAGTGCAGAGCCTCGGTTTCCCCCCCAATCAACGAGAGAATGGCTGAGTGAACATGGTAGGTCATCTCCACATGGCCACTTGGCTCAGGCAAACATAAGCAGGTTTTTAAAATTTAAGCACAACACATATACACACAGAATTTTGCTTAATGGACCAAAAGATAGAGAACTTTCCTTATCACCTGAAAGCAGATGCACCTACAGATTGTTTTACGGTACCTTTTGCTCTTCTGTGAATTCAGAATTATTGTGTTGAGCTTGGGCCTCCTTCTGTAGGTGTCGTGCTAATCTGTAAGAGAAGAACATTTTTAGAATTGAAAGCAAGCAAGCTCTCTCAACAGCAGCAAGATGATACAGATCAATCTTTTAAAAACAGCGAAGCACAATGCTTTGTGGTAGTGATGTCAGTCTCTCTTACCCTTGGACACATACCCTAAATATGCTACAGTACTTTTCACACCGTTTCAGTCGGCAGACTCTGTATAAGCTAAGACAATAAAGCAGAATGCTAGGGCGGGGGAGGGTCTCAAAGAACATCGAATCCAGCTCTCTGGAATGAATGGTTTCTTCTGCAACTAGCCAGAAGGCACTTATCAGCTTAGAGTCTGAGCACCAATAGCTATACTGACTAGAGATGCTTTTCAATCTGCTATTAATTTGCTACATAGTCTAAATCCAAATCACATCCATGACAAAGTGCAAATACTCTATCAAAATCTACTTCTGAAGGTACTTGTTTTTGGAGAAAAACTATTCTAACATTCATAAGCAGAAATCACTGATTACCTATTATCAGCATACTTTAAAAACAGCAGCTGTGGGCCAGTGAAAGGACTCAGTGTCTGCCTTTAAGTGCGATGACCCAAATTTGATCCGCAAGGCCCACAGGTAGGAGGGAGCCAACTTCCCCAAGCGGTTCTCTGACCTCCACACATATGGTACACACATGCATGCAAACAGCAGGTAGGGCTTCTGAGCACTTTCAAGGGTGGATCAATGGGACTACTCCAAGCTCAACAGAAAGGATCACATCAATTTGTTAAGAGTAATAAAGAGGGGCCCCAGTTTGGGGAAAATATTCAAATAAGGATTTTTCTTGAGAGATGTAAAAATGGCCAATAAGAACATGAAAAGATCCGTATCATTGGTCATAAGAAAAGACACACCTAATAACAAGCTACCCCTTCACAACCAGAGATCTATCAATATAATTTAAAAACTAAATGGAGAAAATAAGAGGTGTTGTTGAGTGTGGAAAAAAAGCAGGACCCTTAAACATCACTGATAAAAATCAGAAAATGGGAGGCTGGAGAGATGGCTCAGAGGTTAAGAGCACTGGCTGCTCTTCCACAGGTTCTGAGTTCAATTCCCAGCAACCACATAGTGGCTCACAACCATCTGTAATGACAGCCGATGCCGTGTTCTGGCATGCAGATACACATGCAGAGAGAACATTGGATAAATAATAAATAAATCGATGGGCAGGGCAAGATGGCGGTGCCGGGAGGACTCTCATTCTGAGGAGCAGCACAGCAGGATTGGCACAGTGACCAGCAATCAGAACTCGCGGCCATAAAACACAAGTGATTGTGTTTCACAGGTGAGAGGATACCCCACAGTGGGGGATTCAATCAGCTTTAACTCACCCGGCTAAACCGCGGAAGAGATCCCGGTTCCACCAGGTGCCTGGTCGCCAGCCCAGAGCTACAGGCCAGCGCGATCTGGTCATGGTCCCAGACTGAACTGTGGGCCCACAACACCATAGACTGGATTTCCCAGTCGAGAGATAACCCCATGGAGCAGGAAACAATTGGGACCGACCTCAGGTTACCCAGACATTCCCTGGAAAAGACTCGGGTTCCGCGGGTGCCCCAAGAGCCAGCCCGGACCCAGAGCCAGGACCCAGGTGCCTGCACGGAGCCCTGCCTGCGCGCCTGATTCGCCGCCTCAGATAGAACTGTGGGCACCAGGGCACCAGGGCACCAGGGCACCAGGCTCCAGAGACTGCATTTCACTGGCAGGTGCAAACCCACAGGGAGGGAAACGGCTCTGATCTCAGAGCACTCAGCCGACACCCCCACCCCGAAACGGTCTACGGAAAATTACCCAGTGTAGGGAGCCGCCAAGGCTCCGAACGGCCAGAAAGGCGGAGCCACAAGCGGGCATCTGTGCCTGTGGGTTCTACTCGCCAACCCAGACAGAACAGCGGTCCCCAAAGCAAAGACTGCGTGTCTCTGGCAGGAGGAAACCCCCAGCGGAGGGGGTCATCAGCTCAACGCTTAGGACACCCAGCACCAAAACACTTCCTGGTCTCACGCAGACTCTAGTGCAGGCAGAAGCGCTGTGCTCTGCTGCCATTATTGAGTTCCCCTAGGGCACTGGGACACACAGCTGCATCCTCAGACCTACAAAAGCCAGAGAGCCATTACACCAGCCCTCAGATACTGTGCCAAGGATCAACCAGTTATCCCTAGCTAGACTGTCAAAACTGTGGGAATCCCTGGGCCTTCAAGAGGGCTGCACCCACAGCGTCTGGACCAGAGCAGTGCCTGCAGCCGCCATCCCAGACAGGGACACACAGCTTCTGGTCCAGAGTGAGGCACCCAGCCTCCAGACCACAGCAGTGCCCCCAGGCGCCAACTCAACCTAGGTGCACATTCTCCAGATCCAGAGCGGAGCAATCAGCCTCTGGCCCAGAGACTTGCTGAGTGCACCTCTCACTTTCCCGGACAGAACTGTGCGCCCCAGGATAACAGACTGAGTTTCCCTGTTGGGAGAAAACCCCACAGCTAGGGAATCAGCGGGTTCTTCAAGAGGACTGTACCTGGAAATTTAGTGAGCAGCAGCACACTAAATTTATAACAAGAAACCCAGCAGTGGGGCAGCTGTCTTGAGAAATTCTATGGGCAAGAGGAGATTCCCCCCCTGCCTAACATAGACCACACCTACTACTCAGGGCTATAAACCTGAGGTGAGCAGTGGCAACTCCTGAGAAACACTGGCCATACAGTGACCATAACCAAAAAGCAGAGAAGGACTCCTTCAGGAAAAATCATCTTCCGGCCAAGGGGATACTCCCTCCCTCAGGACTCCAGGAAGCACAGAAACTAACAGCCAACACCTAAATCAGCCCAATGGGTAGAGGTCAGCGTAAAAGCTCAACCAACGAAAGAGAGAGCAATATGGCATCTCCAGAACCCAGCCGTCCAGGGGCGAACAGCCCTGAACAATGCAGCATAATAGAAAATCAAGAAGATGACCTTACATCTATGTTGATGAAGAAGATAATAGAGGAAACAAATAAAATATGTAAAGAATTAGAGGAAGATAAAACCAAACAGATCATGGCTATCCGTAAAGAAATGGAGGAAGATAAAGACAAGCAGATTAGGGCCATCCGTGAAGAAATACGGGAAGATGCAGCCAAACAGCTTGTGGCCTTCAGAGAAGAAATAATTAAATCACTGAAAGAAATAAAAGAGACAGAGTTGAAGGAACTAAAAGAAAAAGAGGAAAATACAAGCAGACAGGTGAAGGAAGTAAACAAAACAACTCAAGACCTGAAGATAGAACTAGAAATTTAAAGAAAACACAAATGGAGGAAATAATGGAGAGGGAGAATTTAGGGAAGAAAACAGGAACTACAGAGGTAAGCATAACCAACAGAATACAAGAAATGGAAGAAAGAATCTCAGGTGTAGAAGATAAAATGGAAGAAATCGATGTATCTGTCAAAGAAAATGTTAAATCCAAAAAATTCCTGACACAGACCGTCCAAGAAATCCAAGACAATATGAAAAGACAAAACCTAAGAATAATAGGAATAGAGGAAAAAGAAGACTCCCTTCTCCAAGGCCCAGAAAATATTTTCAACAAAATCATTGAAGAAAATTTCCCCAAGTTAAAGGAGAAGCCAATAAGGATACATGAGGCCTGCAGAACACCCAACAAATTTGACCAGAAAAGAAAATCCTCCCGCCACATAATAATCAAAACAGTAAGTATACACAACAAAGAAAAAATACTAAAAGCTGCAAGGGAAAAAGGCCAAGTAACATATAACGGCAAACCCATTAGAATCACACCTGACTTTTCAACAGAAACTATGAAAGCCAGAAGGGCCTGGACAGATATCATGCAGACCCTAAGAGAACACAGATGTCAACCCAGGCTACTATACCCTGCAAAACTCTCAGTCCTCATAGACAGAGAAAACAAGATATTCAATGACAAAAACAAATTTCAACAATACCTACACACAAATCCAGCATTACAGAAGTCACTGGAAGGGAAAATACAACCCAAGAAAATTAGCTTCTGCCAAGAAAACACAGGAAATAATTAACCTTACTACAGTAAAACAAAAAGCAACCAAGCACACAACCTTATGAACACAGCCAACATCAAAATCAAAGGATCTAACAGCCACTGGTCATTAATCTCTCTCAACATCAATGGACTCAACTCTCCAGTAAAAAGACACAGATTAACAGAATGGATACGTAAACAAAACCCAGCAATCTGTTGCATACAAGAAACACACCTAAGGCACAAAGATAGACATTACCTGAGGGTAAAAGGTTGGAAGACGACTTTCCAAGCAAATGGACCCAAGAAACAAGCAGGAGGAGCCATTCTAATATCTGATAAAATAGACTTTCAACCAAAATTAATAAAAAGAGATGAGGAAGGACACTTCATACTCATCAAGGGAAAATTCCACCAGGAAGACATCACAATCCTGAACATCTATGCCCCAAATACAAGAGCACCCACATTTGTAAAAGAAACATTGATAAAATTGAAACCACACATAGATCCCCACACATTAATAGTGGGAGACTTCAACACCCCACTCTCAACAAAGGACAGGTCAACAAAACAGAAATTAAACAAAGAAACAATATCTCTGACAGAGGTCATGAATCAAATGGACCTCACAGACATTTACAGAACTTTACACCCAAACACAAAAGAATTTACCTTCTTCTCAGCACCTCATGGAACCTTCTCCAAAACAGACCATATAGTTGGTCACAAAGCAAGCCTCAACAGATACAAGAAGACTGAAATAATCCCTTGTATCCTGTCTGATCACCATGGAATAAAGCTGGACTTCAACAACAGAAATAGCAAAAAGCCTACACACACATGGAAACTGAACAACTTGTTACTAAATGACAGCTGGGTCAGGGAAGAAATAAAGAAAGAAATTAAAGCCTTTCTAGAACTCAATGAAAATGAAGACACAACATACCCAAACTTGTGGGACACAATGAAAGCAGTGCT